AAAAAAAAAAAGGAGCTGCTTTTTGAGCGCTTTTTTTCCTTATCCAGCTCCATTTAGTGCGTGTAGGAATTAATGCCCATTTATGACTTACCATAGGTCACAGCTCAGATGCTTCCATCTCTCCGTATGAGAAACATATCTTCGTTTCTGTAGGCTGAAAGAGAAGAAGAATCTGCTAAAAAAAGCTAAATGTTGAGGTTGCTAATACCCAGAGCCTCTCTTTCTATCATGATGTTATTATTAAAACAATAATGATCAAAAATTAAAAAAGCCTAAAGCAAATATCTTTCTGAAGAACAACTTGAAGAAATAAAACAGTAAAATTATACTTTTTTTTTTTTTTTTTTTGCTGTTGTTATCTAACTATTTCTCAGCAGTCCCCACATATGGTATTGAAGACCTTTGGTTTTCAGATTTTTTTCTTTCATCTCTGTGGAAATGAATCAATATTAACAACATTATAGTTTAAAGCAGTGATAATTTTCACTGAGTTCTTGTTTCCTTTGATGTAGATTACTCTCCTACACAAGCTCTCCTTTGCACTTGCTGTTTCATACCTCTCCACCTGAGTATTTAGTAAATCCTTCATTAGATATGATATTACCTTATTTGCCTCTATCCTAGGCTGCCATTAATGTCTTGTTGATATTTCCTTAGAATTTCCCCTAAGACTTACAAATTAACTATAAAAAAGAAGAGATCTGTTGTTGGAAATTCAACAGACCATCATCAGATGTGAAAGTGCTTTAAAGATCTGTTAAGGTGCATAATAGACTCTTGAGAGAAGAGATGGGAGACCCTTTTTTTTTTTCCAGTCTTTAAATCTAGTTCAGAATAAGGACCGTATAATGTACTGCAGTGAATAAACCTCCACTAGCATAGAGCTTGCTTTTTATTTCATTTATACAGTAACAGGAGTAAGCAGTGAGAGAACAAGAAATGGCACAAAGTGACAAAACCACGAGAGCTCTTTATTCTGAATGTAAATCACACAGATGATATTAAGATATAACATTGAATTATTAATAAAATTAGAATCAGGTGACCTAGTTAGTACTSTAACCTCAGCCTTACAGGACGTGGCATATGGAAAGAGCCCTGTAATTCAAACAAGTAGAGGATGATCGTGGTGAGGACAACCCAAGAGGCTGCCTGAAGTTCAGGGTTCTTTGTCAAGACAATTTCACAGAAGCTAATTGGACATAAACTCTGTTATTTTTAATTGCTGATGTGGCTAATTCTGGTTTCAGAAATAGCTTTTCACATTCACAGCTTCCTCTCCGATGTGCAGGTGCTACCTTTAACCTGAAATTACAGAGGTGGGTGGAAGGTATAATTAGGGCTCAGAGATACCAGAGTCTTGATAGTTTTGCAATTGCACCCTATTTCCCTTTCAAGAAGTGGCAATTGGCACTTATAAARACTGAACTTCAGAGTTTTGGCTAAGCATTTGCAAAAGGGATGGGAGAAGGAGCACTTCAGTTTTGGAAGAGCTATGCAAAGGTCTCATCATCCTCCTGGCCCTGATAGACCCCTGTTACAGGTGACCTGTTAGAGGAGCCTGATCACCTGTTTGCWTTTAAACCATTTCTGTATTCACCTCCTCTCTGCTTTGCTCTAAAATGTTTATTTTTCTATATCTGAAAGTTTGTGTATTTTCATGCGAGGCAATATTTTTGACATTTTGAAAGTCCAATGCAAACARCATTATTTAAAAAACACCACAGCACATACTGCTGCTTTAACATGGGTTAGTGTCAAGATGAGGGGAAAGGTTTTTACTTACTTGGCTTAATGTTGTGTAGGGAGTTGGTCTTCCAGCTTCTCAAGTTTTGTGTAAGTGGATAATGCCTAGAGAGTCCTTTGGCTCCGAGGTGATGGTCTCTCTTGTCCAGCTTTGGTGCTTGTAGGTGCTCCTCACTAGGGTGCTCCTGGTCCCTTTTCACAGGCAGAGGCAATGATGACCTCTTTTAAACAGTAGTTCAAGGTGTGTGGATGAAAGGAATTAGATCCAGGCTTTTTGTTTTGCTGCAAATGTTTCAGAAGTGGGTAAATCCTATCTGAAGGTGTTTCTGGCATTTAAATTCCATTGWTGAAATTAATCCTTGAAGGAGGATTAAAATGCGGTGAACAAAAGCTACTCCACTTCTGAATGTTGCCCTTGGCACTGTGCTTTACTTATGTTCATTAACTTTTAAGTTCACTGTTCTCTGCACATAGGAGAGAGGAAGATGCACGTGGAGGGTGTCTGTACTCATGCAAACTTGGCCATTGTTTTCCAGCACTTTCTTAGACCAACGCTCAACAAAGAAACAGGCTCTTTTAAAAATAAAATTTATTATTTTATTATTTATTATCATTTATTATATTTATTATTATATTATTTATTATTATTATTATTTATTTTAAATTTGTTCAGCATATGCATTATTTCTGAATATTTTTTGATTCCTGATCAGTTAGGGCCTGAGCAGTAGCCTGGTTGTCCCCGCATAGTTATTTTGAACAGGTAGAATTTTTTATAGTCAGCTCTTGTTTATGTTCTCTCAGAAATCGCTCAGAACAGAAACACTACCAGGAAAATGAAATTTGCTCTGGGCTTATATTTTTGTTGTGAGTTATAGAGATTCTGCCAGGTAAGWGTTTGTGGACTCACACAGCTTTAAAGATTGCACCTAATGCCTTGATGCCATAAATATGGGACTTTGATTCGCACTTTCTAGGAGCCACAAGGTTAGGAAAAGGACTCAATTTCCCAGCATGTCTGCAGTAGAGCGATAAAATTCTTTATTCTTCAGTAGCTGTATGCTGGAAAAAGCTCTTACCCATACAAAAGTCACTGTCTAATGAGCACTTTACAACTTYTCTTGTCTGACTAACTGCACAATATCTAATATCTAATACAAAATCTTGTATAAAATCTAATACAAAAGCTTRATTTGTTAAAGGATAAATGCTCATTGAGACAGAATGGCAACATTAGATTCCCACCTTGGGCCCTTACTGAATACTGCAGGATTATGAACTGTGTGTTCTGGTTCACTCCTCTCTTAAAGAGCGATAAGTAGACATATGATCTTCATATATTATGAGATGTTTTCCTGCTTAAATTAAAAACAAAATTACCAAGCTGCTGAATTTTTTTGACAGCAGCAAGTGCCCTGCCCTTGGAGTTTGCTGAAAAAGAAAGAATACTATAGAAAATTAGAGGGGTGAGGAAGCAGAGTTCAGCATTCAAACTCAACTGAAGTATCAGTGAGAGCAGTGAAGCCCTGATTTCAAGGGCAAGTTCTTGTTGAATCACTCTAAGATACTTTTAAATTCTTTTTCCCAGTTAATGTGAGCCTGAGAAATCATAGTTCACTGCCGCAACATGTCCAGATTCCTCTTTTAATCAACAGGCCAATGTGATTTCTTGCACTGCAGACATCAGGGCTTTTTCCTGGAATAAAGAAATATTAACAGTATTTGTAGTCATTCAGTGTTTCCTCCTATAATGGATTCTGCGGCACTTAGCATGCACCTATCTATGTTTTTATCTTGCTGCCCATCATCCTGGTATCTGAGCTTTTCCCATCAAAAGAAAAATCTCTTTCCCTGAAGTACTGATGATGAGAACGGGTAGGTTGTTTGCATTAAAAAAAAGCAAGAAGAAAACTAGAAAGACACAGATAAATGAAGAAAAGGCAGTTGCATTTAGCAGAATAATTTCTCATAAGCCAAGTCAAAAAATGGACTGCAGAAGGCAATGGGCGTTCTCCAGGTGACTGGAAATGACAGTCATGCTTGGAGTAGCTGSGCAAAGACTCCACTGTGGTTTTGAGGACCTCCATTTCCATTGCCTTTGGATCACATTCTCTTGAAACTGGGAACCATAAATTCCTGTAGAATTAATGGAGCACTTCTATTCCAAGGTTTAAAAAAGAATTTTAAGCTACTGCTTTGAAGATATCTATGAATCTTTTTACCTGCAGGTCCAGCATTTTCTTTATTTGAGTACATCTGCCAGTTTGTCCTTTCACCAGGTCCTTTAATCCATCATTTACAGTTGGAAGACTGAGACTAAGAGCTACCATGTCGCTCTTCCCAGAAGAGCATCTGTGGCAAAATCAGCACTTAAAATCATGTCTCCTGTTACTTAGTCCATTGGATTTAACTAAAGCTGTTGCTTTAAACCAAGTCATCTCTGACCTTTTCAAGAGATCTAAAAAGTTTACTTACCCGTAGGGGTGTTTTGAAGCTTAATTAATGTTTGTAAAGTGCCTTGAGTTCTTTAGATGAAAGCACTTTGGGTTATTAATATTAATACTAACAGATGAACCCCTGCAACAATCTAGTACAGTAGGATGAATTAACATGAAGCAAGCAATCAACAACAACAAATCAAACCCACAATGCCATCGTAGCCTAGGGCAATGCATACAGCTGGTGGTCTGATAGATGTGACAGATGAATCCACTGATATTCTCTTCAGTCATTTCCATTGTAAATTAAACTGTCCCTCATGTCCTCAGAACAACAGCATTTCAGCCAAAAGTCACCTGCAGCATTAACTTGTTTTTTCCAGTTGAGGCTGCTTTCTGTACCTTCTTCTACAGAACGTACTCAAACAAGACACAAGCTTTTTGAGCACAAGACTCAATCCCCAAAGTCCAATTTTTAAGAGTTTTCTCTCTTTTTTTTATTTCTTTTTTTCTGCCAAGGTGCATTAATTTATACAAGAACTGCTAAGGTCAAAGTGTTTGTCCTAAGCGTGATTCTGTGATTAATAATCTCAAAGTGATACARGATAATTTTGTGAAAGGGCAATGCAAACCACAAAAACGTAAATTTTTCCTTAGAGATTTTTTGCATTATGAAATGATTTGTTTGTTGACATGCTTGGTCATCAAGCAGTCTAGTTCTTGTTTTTATAGTTCATAATTCCCAATAAATCCTAATTCCCACATTAAATCTTAGAATCTTGGGTATTTCCTTACTTTGCAAGGAAAATGACAATAGCTMTAGAATTCTTTTTCTTTTTTAAAGCTGCTTCGTTACAAACGAGTGACATTCTTTCTGCCTTCTAATGCCCAAAAATAATGAACTTAATACAGAAATGAAAAATCAATGCTGATTAGTTCTGACCATTTTAATTCATATGATAGATTCCCT